ACATTCAGTAACTTCTTGCATCTTAGTGGTTTTATTGCCTTGCTTAGAGAATCAAAACTTCCTAAATTCGCAAAGTCTGGATAGAATAGAAGAACGTTCAATCGTTATCTTCTGTCTTCTTAATTCCTGTTTTTTTATTTTTCCCTCTCCTTAATAATGTTTCCTTCATATTCTTTCACATGCAGTAATTCCTTGCGTCTTAGTCTCTTTATTGCCTTGCTTGGTGTGAAATGTTTAAAAAAAATATCTGTTGCTTATGGAAACTACGCAAATCAGATGAAAATCCGAGACTCCCAATAAAAAGATTTTCTCTCCCTATCAATGCCAATGTCCATCTCCCCCACCTTTTGTTGCAAGTGATGTCTCTTAAATACACCCCCTACTTCTTTGGTCAATGTTAGAGTCATCAATTCCATGGACGGTAGAAAACCTCCATCTCTGATGGTTGATGGTCTTTGCTATTCTTTTCAGTTTGAAAGAAAACTCGGGGTGGGGACTGTTCTTACGTCGCTATAAATCAACCATATGGACATTCACATGGCGAAGAACTTTTTGAAGTAATCTCACTATTGGGTCTCCCTAAGACTTGTCAAAAACACATGTTTTCGACTGACATTTTTTTTTTTTTTTTGGTGGGTGAGAAACCAACTTGCCACTTCCCTGTTTATGAGCAACGTACATCACTCATGTGTCATCAAACATTCGCGCAAATGTGTACACAGGAAAGTTATGATGTTTTACATGGTTTCACATTGAAAGTAAAATTAAGAATCTTTAAAAAGGAACAAAATAAAAAAAATAGTTTTCCCCCTAACGATTAACGGTATGTTTCGAGGAAGCGAGTTCAAATTCGGATGAGGTATTTTCTTTTCTTTTAACAGTAAAACTTTGGAATAAATTGACTTTTGATCTGGCCTCATTGACGCCAGATCAGATATTACTACTGGTAATAAACTATATATATATATATATATATATATATATATATATATATATATATATATAGAGAGAGAGAGAGAGAGAGAGAGAGAGAGAGAAAGGGAGGGAGAGAGTTTATAAATATATAAACTAGTATAATATACTTTGTTATTTAGAGAGGACCTGGACGCTGTCAGGTAAATATAAACGAGCATACTGCACAGATTCTTAAATTCACTGAACTTTTGGATAAATAAATATTTAGATATGTAAATTAGATGTTCCTAAGTATTTAGGGAATTTGACTATTACATAGAATTTTAAAACAGATCTTTAAAATAATTCGAGAGGCTTTTCTAATATTCTCTGCATTGCTGGAAGGCAAACGTTCGTACAACTTTCAGTTCTTTTTTCAAGTTTACCGAAAAGACGCTTTCAAGTGGTGTGAAGAAAAGGAAAATAAATGGGAAAGAGAAGAAAAGAAGACGGGCATCTGGTAGTTTTTCAAAGCGCGCTCCATCCAATCCATGAGTCAACTCCAGATGATGATAAGTGTCGTCACGCAAGGACAAGGACAACATCATTTATTGTAATTAAATATCTGACAGCAACTACCTTAATGAAAAGACAACGTTCCTACCCGCTTCCTTTACCGTCTCATTAAGTTGGATGGAAAACGCTGCCGCTGATCTGCAGATTGTTGTTGTCATGCTGTTGTTGTTATTGTTGTTGTTTTCTTTTCTTACTTTAATTCTTCTTCTTCTTTTTCTTCTTCCTCGTTTTCTTCTTTTCCATCGTCGTTTTCTTATTATTATTCCTCCTCTTCTTTCTCTTCTTTTCCACCGCCTCTTCGTCGTCCTCATCCACTTCTTATTATTATTCCTTTCCTTTTTCTTCTTCTTTTTCTCTTCTTCTTACTCGTCTTTTTTTTATTTTCTTATTATTATTCTTCCTTTGATTCTTCTTTCGCTTTTTTCTGCTTCTTCTTCCTCCTCTTCTACTTATTTATTTTCTTCTTCCTCCTTCCTCTTCTTTTCTTCTTCTTCCTCCTCCTCCACTTCTTCATCTTTTCTTCTTCTTCTTCTTCTTCTTCTTCTTCTTCTTCTTCTTCTTCTTCTTCTTTTCCAACTTTTTATTATCATTCTTCTTCTTCTTCTTCTTTTCCAACTTTTTATTATCATTCTTCTTCTTCTTCTTCTTTTCCAACTTTTTAGTATCATTCTTCCTCTTCTTATACTTCTTTTTCTCCTTCTTCTTCTTCTTCTTCTTCTTCTTCTTCTTTTCCAACTTTTTAGTATCATTCTTCCTCTTCTTATACTTCTTTTTCTCCTTCTTCTTCTTCATCTTCTTTTATCTGTCAGATTTTGTTGCGGATTCAAAAAAAGACTTCTTTTCTTTTTCCCGCCCAGTAAAATGTATATCAATAGCTTGTTCTTCATTTTTAGTTCGAGACGAGCTTTCTAGCCATCATTAAAAAAGAAAATAAGCGTTTTTTGCTTACAATTGCTACAGATTTACTTTTAGTCCTCACCCCAGAATCGAACTCACTACACATGGAATCGCCTTGAGATTAGCTTGTTAGATATCATTCCTCAGCATATGCATAGCTAAAAAGAATATTTAAAGAGGCGACTATATAATATAGCTAAATAATTTTAAGTAAGCGTGAATCTGTTATTATGCATGTGTATGTGTGAGTGTGTATATTCAGGGGTTGTATAAATCGTTGAGGGTCAGCACGCAAGGGTCGGAGCGGGGCTTAAAGTGAAGTTGGCTCTTAAAGTGTATTGATTGGTCATCATCCTTTTCAGGCGATGGTCTTGTTATTCATTAACATCCCCAGCGACGGCTACCAACGCCCAGCGGGGTTCAGGCACTGTTGTAGTTTCTTGTTAGGGGTCTTGTCATGTGAATTGTTATTTGTAGGTTATGGATTTGCTGGTGTTCGGAGCAGACAAGAGCACGGGACGTGGAGTGGGGATTAATAAAACCGAAAATAATAAACAAGTGAATAGAAACGGAAGAAGAGGTAACAAATGAGTCGAGAAGACAGTAAAATAATATTGAGGGAAGAAAAAGAGGAGGAGGAAGAGGAGAAGGAGAAGGAGGGGATGAAGCAGAAAAAAGAAGAAGTAGCAGAACAAGAAAAGGAAATGGAGGAGTATGACGAAGAATAAAAAAGAAGAAAAAGAAGATAATAAGAAAAAGATGGAAAAGAAAAAGAGGAAAAATAATAAGACGAAGAAGATGAAAATGAAGAAGAGGAAGAGGCGAAGAAGAAAGAGGAGGAAGAAGAAAATAAAGAAGAATCAGATCAAGAAGAGGAAGGGGAGGAGAACGACGGAGAAGAAGAAACAATAAAAAAGAGGAAGTATAATAATGAAAAGAAGAAGAAGAATATGGAAATGAAGACGAGGAAGAAGAAGAGGAGGAGGTGTTGTAATGGATGTGATGGGGGATGGAAAATAAATATGGATAGAGTGCGTAAAAAAGAGAATGAAAAATAATCTAGAGAAGGTGAAAGAAAATGGGAATAACGGAGAAAAAGCGACGAGAAATATGAAGAAAATGATCGACAACGCAAAGGAAGGAAAATATGAAGAGATTGACAAAAAAAGAGAGAAACAAAAAAGTAGAAGAATGAAAAGAATAATAATGATGAAGAAAAAAGAAAGAAAGAAATTTATTCCATTATTTTTTTTATTCCATTATTCTTTTATTCCATTATTCTTTTATTCCATTATTCTTTTATTCCATTTTTTCTCTTTCCCCATCTCTCTATCTTTCTCTTATATTACATTTTTTTCTTTCAATAAAAAAAGAAAGTAAATCGATTGAGCCGTTTTTACGGCTTATCAACCCTTTGCCGGTTATATAAACCCAGCAAATATTCTTAGAGTGTAAGTATTTTTTTTTTTTAGATAATATTGGTTTAGTGATACAAGTCTTAGCTATGGAGAGGAGATGTGGATTCCTCCCTTTCTCAAGATTATTTAAGCATAAGTGAATTTAGTAAACCCAAGGGGAATCGAAATTTGTCTCTCCGATTAATAATTCCGAGCCATTGTCCATTACACCACCCGTACATCCAAGCTTACAGCACTTGGTATTCCCAAACGAACACAACATCTAGGTACTGACCAGGTCCGACGTTGTTTAACTTCGGTGATCGTACAGGAACTAATGTCTCAATGTGATGCGGCCGTAACCTGTAAAAAGTATTCAAGCTAAGAAAATAGGATTCCAGAAGAATTTATAAGTTTCAAAATCAATTCTTTATCACTTTTTATGACGCTTAAAGTTAATTTTGTGTTTTCCTTTTGAGAGAGGCCTAAATGAAAAATAAAGAATAACATAAATAGAGAATCAACTATTTCATTAATAAGCATCTCCTTCAATAGAAGCAATAGAAAGTTCTAAACGACATTTTTTATCTTGAAGAATGTGACACAGAATTGGAATAGCGAAAGATGCTTTCCAAACTCTAAGCAAAGTATTAAGAAACAGAAACAATTCTTTAAAAACAAAAACAATCTGCCGAACTGCTGTATAATATCACTCATATAGCAGAGAATACTGTAAGATTTCCTCACAGACGAAAAGGAGACTTGAGGCGACTTGAGGTTCTACAGAAGGATACTGAGAATATCATGGGCAGAATCGATGTTTCGACGTGATATGGCCGTATAACTGTGAGAAGTAAAAGAATTCCAAGAAGAAAGAGAAATATAAGATATATAAGGAAAGCAAAGGTGAAGGGAAAATATGTAGAAGAGGAAAATAGAACTCAAGGAAATGTGAGATGGAGAAAAAAATGGCAGTGAACGGAAAATGTAAAGAAACTATAAATAAACCAAAGAAAAAAGGTCTATGGGATTAAAGTGAGAGTGTGTATGATTTCAATCCCTGCGCCGTGCATAGTATTTTTGGACACAGTGGAAACAGTAGGATTAATAATAGAATAGTTCTAAATAAAAAAAATCTAAACGTGATATCCCTCTCAGCAAAACAAGGAAAATCTACCACCGTTAATTGAAAAGATGGGTTCACTTCGATATCCTTTCAACCTTCACCGGATCAGCTTACGACCATATCACGTTGAAACACCGGTTCCCGTACGATCACCGAAGTTAAGCAACGTTGAGCCTGCTTATTAACGAGATGGGTGATCGCTTGGGAATACTAAGCTGTCATCCAATTTCAGTTGGGTCCGTTTTATTCACCGTTGGGAAAGGTATGAATCCACTTCTTCTCCCCACACCAGCTATGGGTTAATTACTAATATTTGTATCACTAAATCATTATTATTTAAAAAAAAAAATTATTACAATCTAAGAATATTTTCTGGCTTTAAATAAACCAGCAAAGGGTTGATAAGCTGTAGAAAACCAATCAGTCAATCAAATGTTAACAGGATTGACATGCACCTGATGAAAATCGGCCGAAACGTTCAGATAATAAGATGAGGACAATAGTCGGCCTGAAATTTTTTATTAGTTCTTATCCCATAAATTCAGAAAGAAACAAATGAAAAAGTTAAAATAATAGAAAAACAATATGGTAAGAGAGGAAAGAGGGGGGGAGAAATGAAAATAGAAGTCGAAAATGAAGAATGAATTGATAAATGAGAAAATAAAGAAAGAGAAATGAAAGAAAAATATGATAAATAAATAAGAAATATGAAGAAATTAAGAGAGGGATAATAAAGGAAGAAAAAAAGATGGAAGTAGATTGAGAAATAATAAAGAGATGTTAAATAAATAAATAAAAAATAAAGCTTTAAAGAAATGAAACAGCTGTAGGAGAATTCTGAATAAAATGTATTTTTTTTAAATCGTTTCACCCTAAGCAGGGCGGCAATGTCAATAGAACGCAGTGGGGCTACAGGGAGTGAAAGAGAAAATTGAAATCGGAGAAGATTAAGTAAAGGACAAAAAGTGAGGGCAGGTTTCAAGAAGACAGAAGATGGCGACTTACGTTGCATTTAAACTTTTAAAGATTCCAGTTATCAGAGGAGCTAGAAATCGGAAGGGAGTTCCACAGGTGGGAAGTGCGAGAAAGAAACTGTTAGTCCAGAAGTGGCGGTTGTATCTCGCTAATTCAACAGTAACACTAGTTACCAATCTAGTAGCACGCTTAAATTTATGTAGCCGGGGCACCAGGGGAAAGAGCTCATCCGAGCAGTTGCCATGAAAATTTCTAGAACAGACAAAGTGAAGCCACGTCATGTCGATGAGAATGGCACTGGAGACGAGATGCTTGGTCATATCCATCTCTGGATTTTGTCAAAGATCCCGAGAGGCACAGTAGGAGCACCAGACCAGATATGGGCAACGGTATTCGAATGGTAGATTTATAAATGTGCAAGATGGATTCTGACGAGAAAATTTTTGTGGGCACGACACAGTGAACCAATTTTCCTTGTAGGAGATGTAGCAATTGATTCGATATAGTTGCTCATGTCAGTGGAAAACGTGAGGCCAAGAAGGTTTAGGTTGTTTGTCTCCTGGAATTCAACATCAGTCATCCTGATGGCAGGCAGAAAAGCTTCTCTGTGGTGATTAAATGAAAGAAAAGGCAGGAAGAGTAATAAAACAAAAGTGAAAATGAATAAATCAATGAGTTTATTTAGACAATGAATGGAGATTTAAAATGGTTGAAAAGGAAAAAGGAGAAGAGAAAAAAAGTTTAAGAATTTTGAATAGAAGCAAAAGAAGAAGTAAAAGAGAAAATGTAGAAGGTAGAAAAAGAGGGAAGAAGAAGAATACGAGAAGGAAAATAACTTTCTATAGAATGAAAGTGAGAAAGAAAAACAACAAACGAATAGAGAAAACAGAATGCAAAAATGGCCGAATGTCTTTTCTAGCGATGTATTTATTGTAATGAATGTCATACTGGATAAGATGGTGGTTTGTATAATTGGTCATGTTCGTGTTATTTGCTTTAATCAAAAATAAATGATTTTATTTATCGGAGAGAAACTCTCGTCAACTTATGATGTTGAAAACAAGCGTTAATTTTGTTATATCTTTTTTTTTTCCTTTTCTTCTTTCACTACTAATTCCTTCTTTAGTTTTTATACAGTTTACATTTTATGATATTAGGACTCGTTTTTTATTATTTATTTTTTCAACTTTTTCTTCTATTTGTTAAGCATTTCACCCCAAGCAAGGCGGTGTTCCACTATCACGCAAGAGGTTACAAAGGGTAGAGAACAAGAGTTATGTTTGGGGAGAGGATAAAGAGAAGGACGGGGAACAAGATCAAGGGGTCAGAAGACATAATAAGAAAAAGATGGAAAAGAAAAAAAGGAAAAATAATAAGACGAAGAAGATGAAAATGAAGAAGAGGAGGAGGAGAAGGAGAATAATGAAAATATTTGAAGATTATAGTCATTAGGGAAGCAAGTAAGAGAAAGAGAATTCTACAGACAGGAAATGCGAGAGAAGAAACTGTTGGAGTAGAAGAGACGAGGTTACATTTAATTGTTTTGACAGTTTTGAAAGGGTAGGACCGAGATGCCAAACTAGTAGCTCGCTTAAATTCATGCAGATTGGAAACCAGAGAAAGTAACTTGTCGGAACAGTTGCCGTGAAAATACTTATAAAAGAGACAAAGAAAAAACCACGGTACGTCTATAAGTCAGCAACTGTATTAGATGCCAGATCAGTACCTATCACATTGCATATCCGTCTCTGGATTTTGTCGAGGACCTCTAGATTTACAGCGGGGGCAGCAAACCATATATGACAGCAATAATCGATGGTTGATTTATAGATTAGATTTATAGATTTGAATGATGGAGTCAGACGAGAAAAAACTTTCTGGCACGACACAGAGAACCAACTTTCCTTGCTACTGGGTCTCCAAATCTTGTATCTTCTTTCCTTCTTATTCTTACTTTATTTATTCCTTCCTTCCTTTCTTACTTTCTTTCTTGTTGACACACTTTCATTTTTTTTATTTTCTTTTTTCTTTACCAATTAATTTTCTTTTTACTTCTTTTTCTATTCTCAAACTTTTGTTAATTTCTCTTCTACTTTAGACTCCCCTTTCTTTCTTTCTTTCTTTCTTTCTTTATTTATTTATTTATTTATTTATTTTTCTTTCCAGATTATTTTCTGCCAATTCGCTCTTTCAGTCTGGCCTTTTTTCCTCTTTTCTACTTCCAAATCATATTATTTCCATCTTTATTCTTTCGTTCATTCCTCTTTTCTTTCTTTTCCAATTCAAATATATTTTTCAACTTGTCATTTTTTTCTTTTTTCCTTCGTTTCTTTCCTGATTCCAAGCAATTTTATTTCTGTTTTTCCTTTTTCTTTTCTCTCTTTCTGATTTTCCATCATTCTAAATTTTTTCATTTCTTCTTTTCAATCACCAGGTTTCTTCTTCTCATCTTCTTTTCTCATTTCAAAATCTTTCTTTATTTCTGTCGTTTTTTCTCTCTTTTTCCTCTATCTCTTTCAATTCCTTTTATTCTTTTTTCTCCTAATTAAGTCAGGCTTTCTTTTTTTCATTCCAATTTCTTCTCTCTTTACCAATTCCGTTCTTTATATTTCAATTATTTTCCGTCTTCCTTCCTTAACAAAATACATTCTTTCCGTTTCCTTTCATATTCGGTCCGTTCATATGTCTCTCTTTTATCGCTGTTAAATTCTTTCTTAATTTTTTATTCCTCTTCTTTTATTATTTTCTTCTCTACATTCGTTCACTTGGTTTCCTTCTTCCACTTTGTTTCCATTCGTACTTCATGTTTTCCTTCTTTCTGCCTAATTTCACTTTTTTTCTTTCATTCTCTCCATCTCATTTCATTCTCTCTCTTATTCCTATCCCTCTCATTCACTATCTCTCTCTCTCTCTCTCTCTCTCTCTCTCTCACACACACACACACACACACACACATGAATATTTTTCGGATGGCGGTTCGTATGTACTCAAGTAGTAAAAAGAAATACACCGTTAAGATCAAGTATAGTTCCTTTACACATCAGCCTTAAGTAATGGTTATCAAGCTAACACCACAGTCTATCTTCTTCTTCTTCTTCTTCTTCTTCTTCTTCTTCTTCTTCTTCTTCTTCTTCGTGAAGTCTCGCTTTCCTATATATATATATATATATATAGATAGATAGATAGATAGATAGATAGATAGATATAGATATATATATATATTGTGAAAATATCCGTACAGAGAACCTTCGTCATACATTTACTGTCGTGAAAATTTATACAATATATTTTTTGGAATAGATCTTCAGGAAACAACATTCTCAATTCCAACAACTGTTATCATTCTTTGTAGTACCGAATACAGTTTCCTTGCAAATCTTTTGTTTCGGGAAATGAGGAAAGCAAACATGTTGATTATAGTGTTTGATAAACAGCTGTCTTCTTTAAGACATAAAGAATTCGTTTGCTTAAAGTCATTTTAATCATTGATTAGAAAGAAGGGTTGTATAATGTTTAAATTTCCTTTTCGTTCTTTTATTTATACGAAATGAAAAACATCTACATCTCTCTCTCTCTCTCTCTCTATATATATATATATATATATATATATATATATATATATATATATATATTACAAGAAGAGAGAAACCGCAAACGTTTTTGGCTATAATGTGAAAAATTAATTTCCCTTATGTTTTTCGATGTTTTGGGGTTACTACTAAACAAAAAAAGGCAATGGTTAAACATCGACAAAGATAAGGGAAATTAATTCCTTTTAATAATATATGGAAATACCCACTCTTTGTCTGATAAAGGTCGCGAAATATATGTGTGTGTGTGTGTGTGCAGTATAATTTTTTTTAAATGTGTTTCATTGAATAATATAGGCATATTGTGTATAATTATTTTTATATTGATCCTTTCAAGTTATCTAATCAAAATCATAAATAAAATCAACCAACCAATATAAGAACAGCATATGAAAGCACATTTGCATTTCTATCAATACCCGGTCATATTCTTTATATTGAAACGCATGTTTTCTAAAAATTCCATGAATACAACGGATATAAAATTTAAATTTTTAAAATGACTATATAAAGCGCTTTTACGTGTGCTTAAAGATATCTATGACAACGAAACGCAGATTTCACTAAAATAGAATAACTACACAAATACATGTTTAAATATAGCTTAGATGTGGCTTAAGGTCAAAAGTGTGGAGCACCCAGTGAGTTTCGAA